ACCCAAGTAGGTTTTAGAGGGTAGCAGCTCAGTTCCAACAATAGGTGGTAGCACTATTCCAACAATAAACTCAGGAGCCGTTCCTACAATTCCAACTATAGGGTCAGGAGACGTTCCTACAATTCCAACTATAGGGTCAGGAGACATTCCTACAATCCCAACAATTGGCTCAGGAGCTTTGCCTACAATCAACAGTGATTTACCAGTTATTGGTTCAGGCAACATTCCACAAATTCGGAGTGTTCGTCAAGCTGTTCAAACCGCATATAACGGTATGTCTGTGCCTTCTAATCGACTGGCCAATGCTGCTGTACCAGCGACGTTGCAAGGCGGAATAGCGACGTTGCCAGAGATCGGTGAACTCAGACCTGTAGTGGATGCACCAGCAAATGGTGCCGCAATAACTGTAAACCCAAACAGTAACAACAATGGTGTAGTATACTCATACTACCACCCATACTACATGCCGAGGCAAAGGGGGCCGACTCCTGTGATAAGGCAATGAAATGGCAGAATTTAATGAAAAAACAGCTGATTGACCATTGTAAAATTATAACCTGACTGAACTACTTAATGATTGCAAATTTTTTTTTCTCAAGAAGCCACACATAAAATTGTTTCTTTCATTGACTGTTTACTTTTGTCGCAAAATCTTACCCGCACATTTAATCAAAAACTGTCTTCAAACATTTTTTTGAGTTAAAAAAATTATAATCTTCTTATAGGATGAAGAGATTTTAAAGCTGTAATCACATCCTTGCCAGTATTTATTTCTTGTTCAGTTTATTACTCAGAAATGCAATATATAAACAACGGTTTTCCTCCAGGTTTTAAAAAAATGCAATGAAGATGATCATTCTGTATGTATAAAGTTATATCTGTCGTAATATATGTAAATAAAATAGAGTGATTTCATTGCAACTGAAGCTGTAGAAAAATACACCGCTGAATAAAATGCTGCATATACTTCTGATGCTTTGCATTGCAGTAACAGTTGAAACAGTAAAAGAAAAAATAATATGAAAAAGTTGTGGAAATAAAGTGAGGAAGATCAAGCTAAAATTTGGTTAATTTTTTTATAGCTCAATTGATATCTGTGGAAATAAGAAATAGTTACCAAATTGTTGTGTTATATTTGATTAATAAGAATGAATAAGTTTTAACATGTACTGCAGTCAAAAAAAACAGTTGCTATTTTCAGCAGTGTTTAAAAGTATTTTAGATTCTTTCTACACACCTAACAGTCAAACATAATTTTAATGAATACTGATTAAGCTCAAATTGCACATTTCAGACAGCAATCTTCACACTGTTTTGACGTGGTGCTAAAGTGTAGCACTGGTGACCGGTTAGCAGTGTACTGTGAAAAAAGAAATTAATAGAGAACGATAAAATGATAGCAATGTAACAGTTACCACATTTATATACTTAGCATTTAAACTTGAAAAAAAATGAAGAATTTGCGATTAAAAATTCAATAAAGAAATTACTTTACACAAGATTAAACTTAGATTTATCAAACTTCGCCACTTAAACTAAAAACTATGATACCAATTTGAGCTTTCACTTTTGTAATTTGATGTTATTTTTTATTTCTTCTTTTATCTTCTCTTTATCCCATAATACTGTTCGTTACCTCTTAATACTGGCATTTTTTATAAAAAGAATATTTGTAAACGAAATGAGAGAGAGGAAGCATCTCATTTTTCTATTAAAGTTTTTCGTACGCGTTAAACAAATAAAACACCGTGTTTATGTACGAAGAAAACATAAACTGTAGCGAAAAGAAAAAAAAATTTTTTTTTGAAATAATGTAAAAAAGAATTATAGCCGTCTTTGGTAGTGCGGTTTTTTGAAGTTATGTTCACCGGTAAATTGCAGCAGCCAAATATAGTCTGAGATCAGTTATACTATTTGCTTGAATAAGATTAACTTTTCAATTTTACTACAGTTATGCTGACCAAACTTCTGATGCTTATTATATTACTTGAAGCTGTCACGAGTTCTGGTAAATTGACTTTTTCGTAATTTTTTGCGTTTTATTTTATTTAAACTATGTTATAACTTTCTTAAACAACACTTATCGAATATAATCAGGAAGCCGACAGTAACGTGTAAATTCCATTTTCGTATCTTATAATCACTTTTTTGACGTTAATCAAGTGTCTAAGCTGGTTTAAACAGAATAAATAGTAACTGAGTTTGCAGTTCAGATTTACTAGTCTTTGATTACCACATTAATACTGTTCTAAAACAGAAATTTAGTTGTCGTCTACAACTTCCTTATAGGTGCCACTGTAATTGGTACATAAAGTTTTTTTTTTTTTGATCTAACATATTATGCAGTTGTTTATCCAAACTATTCTTTTTATTAGTTGAAAGTTATGACTTTTATGTCTTCTAAAAATTGTATTCTGGTGTTATTAAATTCTGATTTTTTAGTAACATCTTCCAACAGTCAACAAGCTATGATAAAAAAACCTCGAGAACAAAAGTCTTCTGGTTGGGGCGACTGGCTTGGATGGTCGGCATGTGTTGGGCAAATTGATGGTCTGTCTCGGTTCTGTTTCAAACTTCATACTGTACTCAACAATCATTTGTTCTTTTTATCTCAAATAAAAGTTGACTGTTTATACATAACAAAAATTAAACCTCTGATATTTGATTAATTAAAAAAGATTTCAAATGTTTGTGCTTTTCTCTCTTTTTTTTGAATATAAAAGCGGAAAAAAGATTATAATAAGGAAAGCATATATTCTGATACAAGAAAAAAAAAAGATGTTTGAATAGTACACTTAAAAATGCACTTCAGTTTCTGTTGTTTACAGTTCTAAGCTGGCACATCTTTTCTCAGGTCATTAAACTGCTGAAGTATAAAATTGACCAAACATTATTCAAAAGAATTTCTAACTAGCAACTTCACCTACAACAGACCATCGTTTAAACTGATGTGCAAAAGTTCAAAAACAGTTAAAATTATCAGTTTTTGTTTTCTAAAATGCACTTTTTGTAAAAACAATAAAAATTAAACCTTTTTTTTTTCAAATAAAATATTCTTTTATGAGGAAAAAATAATGGGTTTTTGCGTAATAGTTTAAAACTGCATAATGAAATGTAACAGTACGAATAAACAGTGTAATTTTGACTGATTGTTAGGAACAGTACAGAGAAGAAGTCGAGAATGCTTAAGTGAAACGTGTCAGGGTAAACGTGAGGAAACACGGCACTGCAACCGATATTCGACTAATCCTCAGACTCCCGACGCAGATGCACCTATCGAATCTCAATGGGGACAATGGGGCGCTTACGGGCCCTGTAGGCAAGTGAACAATACATTTGCAAACCTCTTGTTTACCGATGATTCAGTGTGGCTTAGACGCATATTAATCCTAAGAGACAATCAGATTTTAAAACCAATCTGCTCAGTTTGTGTAGCAATTTTTGACGATCGAAAAAATACGGTTAATCAGGTTTTTGAGAAAGTTTTGTTTTTTTTTTTTGTTTTTTTTAATTTATTGTTATTTAATAAATCAATTTAAAACTTACCATTTGATAATATTTTTAATAAGCTGTAAGTCATAAAAAGAAATTTTTGCATATTGTCTCGATAAAGTAACAAATTAATTCTCTGAAACTTTCTTTTTTTTAGCGCATCTTGCGGTGGAGGTTTTCAAACTCGAACAAGATTATGCTATGAACATTGCCCTGGTTGTGCCTGCGATGGACCATCAGCTGAACAAAGACCATGCAACACGGTAAACAACCTTTGAATTGCAGCTTATTTCAAAGTGTTTTCACAGCATAAAACTTTGAGCCAACAAAATAATGTCATGACGACAGCTATTCAATTTCCAAAGAGTTTCAGTAATTATCTCATTGTTATTTGTATTTTGAATTTGATTCAGCAAAGTTGTTGCACATGGACGGCATGGACCTCCTGGAGTCAATGTACTGTTACCTGTGGTGATACGGGTTATATTTACCGAACAAGACAGTGTACATGCCAAGAAGTTAGTTGACATAATTAATTAGTTACATCATATCGTTATTTGAGCTTTTTTCTGTTTTTTACGAAGCATTTGGCAATTTTACTAAATCTTATCACACTTTATCGCACAGTGATGTTAAATTTTGAAAAAAATAGAGTTTCGATTCGACAGTTTCTGTAATCTTGGTATACCACTTGATGTATATTTGAATGTTTTGCTACCAGATGATCATTCAATGACGTTTAATTGTCGTCTAACCTGATCTTGCCAATAAGATGAACTTTTAAAAAATGCGAAAAAAAAA